TCAAAAATCACAGAGTTGACAGGTGCCTTTTGCTGCCTGTGTTTTCCTTTTCAAATAATAATACTAATAAAATAACAGGTGAATGCCAGTCACAGTAGCAGCCACACCTGTAATCCAGCAAGAGGATTGCAAGTTGAAGGTCAATTAGCAAGACCCTGGATCAAAATAAATTGTTAAAGAAAGAGCTGGAGGTGTAGCTCAGCCCAGCAATGAGCCTAGCAACGTAGGGGGCTCTGGGTTCAATGCTCACCAACACGCGCACACACGCACATGCAGGTAAAGGGGCGTGCCTGTGCACCTGTCCTCCCTTTGTCTAGAATGCCCTGTTCTCCATCTTCCTCAGAGAACCATCTTATTTGATCCAAAGCCCAGCGTGGCTGCCACCTCAATGGCATGATCACTGACTGCCCCTCTGGCTATCAATCCTCCCCCCATGTCCTATCACAGGATGCTGCTGTCATTGTCTCGTATGTGTCCGGCTCTGCTCACCGGTGGCCTCCTGTGCTTGAGGTTCTTTGAGGTGCTAGTTCTTCTTCAGAGTCATCCCTGGGTAACAGACAAATACTGAAGTCCAGGTTCTGAACCAGACCCACTGACTCAGGATTTCCCAGATGCTGGCCCAAACATCTTTGTTTTAATTTATTCTCTGCAGGTGGATGAGTTACAAGGAGGGTTTAGAAGCATCCATTGTGTCTGATTCCTCCAACATCAAGCACGATCCCCAGCACAAAGCAGGTGCTCAGATCGGGCTGGTGGGCTGAATTAATCAATTGTATCTGTTTTATTGCTCCTTGAGGGTTATAGTGACACCCACTCAAAGGGTCAATGCAGATGCTTTTGTATTCTCTTCTTGACAATCTCTGACCTTCTTTAGCCATGTTCTTTGGTGTGTTCCAGGGTTTAAGCCTGATACATAGAAATATTTTTCTTTGAACAGTGATTCTATGAAATGGTAATAATAAGTCAATAACTTGCTAATAAATGTTATAATTCAATATTATATTTATATGATTTTATATATTGATTTATATATTATATTTCATATTAATAATGTTATAGTTTAAATGTAGATTGAATTTATTTAAAAATATGACAAAGAAATGAAGATGAATTTTAAAGGGACTCTCTACATAGTCGTGCAGGTGTCCAAATTTAGTTTAGGGGAAAAAAACAACTCAAGAAATTATCTATTCTGAGGTCTGTGACCAAATTTCTAACCATTTGATGGACATTTGCACCCTCAAAGTTAACACATTCACAATGGAACTTCTTATTTCCTCTTGTGAGCAGCTCTTTTTCCTTGTTGGAAATAAAAGTTGAAGTTTAGAGAACTTCACAGTAAGATAGCATCACACAGTCAAGGACTCTCAGTGACAGAGTCCTGGCTTGCTGTCTGCCCTTCCTCCCCGTGGGACACCTGGGAGAAGCAGCCCAAAGAGTAATAACCTAATACCAATCAAAATGCCACTTGATTGACATCTGAGTCAGGATCCAATAACCCAGGGCAATGTCTCCTGGCCTCAAATAGCACTTCTTGGGCTGGAGCCTCAAGTGAGTCCCCCTTCACTTCTTTTCTATTATTTAATCTGGACTCTTAAGAGCAGTCTGTTCAACCTTCCCTACATGAAGAGGAAATGAGGCAGAGGAATGGTTGGGCAGATCCACAGAGAAAGCCTCAGATTAATTTACCTCCTCAACTCTGGGCTCAAAGGCATTGGAAAGAAGAGAACCATGCCTGGGCCTGGCTCTCGGAGACAGAGTCTACCTAGTTCAGTTGTCAAGGGGCTGAGAAAGAACAACATGGCAGCAGGTGTCCCTGAAAGACATTAATTCTGTATAGCACTAAAACTGAGCCCAGGGAAATGGCCTAGTCCCAGACACGCCGTACTGAAAACTGCTTCCACCCTAAGGGAAGTGGGCAGAAGCGGACCCAGCAGAAAAGAAGCAGCCACAATTTACCTCTCCTTACCCTCTGGCTTCTTGGGAAGAGGCAGCCATTCAAGCTCTGAATCCCCATCAGCCAAGCAAACCCATTCTCCTGGGACAGCCTACAGGTTGTGCACGCATGTGCATGTGTGTGTGTGTGTGTGTGTGTGTGTGTGTTTGGTGGGTACAACTAGGAGTGCATCTGGCAGCTAGTGGGTACAAGCTTGGGAAGCAGCTGAACAGCCTGCAAAGCACAGGTTGCTGTTCACAGCAATGAACAACGTGGTCCCAAACAGGAATAGTGCTGAGCTTCAGACCCTTGATTGGAAGCAGGAACACTTGGTGTGCATTCTACTCACCACCCAAAGAACCTGTTCTTCACCTTTATTGTCCCCTGTGATTCTGATAGAAATCCTGTGTGAAAACAGAACCCTCATGTTCAGATGAGGATCAGGTACGGAGAACAAGTTCAAGGTTAGAGGTCTGGAAGGAAGCACAAAGTGATGGAAACCACGTTTTCTGATTCTCCCTCGTGCTCATTCCTCCACCACATTCCTCTTCACCCGCGCCACTCCTCTCTTCTGTAGCATGGTTGCCAATGGTGTGACCAAGCTGTCTGGACGAAGGTCTTTGGGCAGCCTGGCCCTCAACCATTTCAGTTAGTTCAGGTTTTTCCTTTCCTTGGCCAGACTCTTGTGATAAGTGGCAGAACAGCGTGCTACCTGTCCATGACAGACAGGATACACAAGGAAGCACTTCTGGCCCTTTGTTTTTAAATTCAACATTTATTCATCTCATTCTCTTGAAGAAGGTAGACTCGCCTTTGGCTCGCTATCCTAAAATAACAGCTGAATGTCAACACGGATTCCTTAGTCAAAAACAAAAGTGTTCACAAAGGGAGCATAAAAAGGTGAGGATGAAACATCTCGCTCTCGGTGCCTTCCTCACTTGGCTTTGCTTCTCTCTCTGACTTCTGTCCTTCGTACTTTAACTCAATCCTTACTCGATCCTGAGTACCATTTAGCACAAGGGCCTTCCTCGGGTGCTCAGATGCACTAGGTTTTTCAGGTTGTCCACCCGTTTTCTTGCTTCTTCTAGAACACGGTCCTTCTTCCCACAGTTCACCTGGCTAGGACCTTCTTTTGCTTCTCATTTCAATTCATATACTATTTCCTCAGACAGCCTCTTGGTGAGGGAGCCCAATCTAAATCAGTCTCTCTTTATTCGTGTCACTTGGTACACCTGCAGCATATTCTTGAGTGTACTTACCCATGCAATGCTTGTCTCTGCCAAAAAGGAAAAGAGATCCAAGAGAGCAACAGCCATGTCGGCTAGGCTCACTGCTGTCATTTAAAAGGCCTGGTCTTGGTCTCTGTTCTCATGGTTGAAATACAATACCCAGCACCCACAGCTTAAAAGAGGAAAGGTTTGTCTTGGTTCATGGTCTGTACAGACTTCAGTCTACAGTCAGCTGGCTCCAAAAGAGGGCAGCACGGCAGGGGAATAACAGAGGAGAGCTGCTCATCTTGTGGTAACCAGGAAGCAGAGAGAGGGTGAAGGAAGGAACCGAAGGGAGGTACGTCCTTGCAGCCCCCAGCCCCAGAGACCCAACTACTCCAACCAGGCTCCACCTCCCTACAACCCATTTAGCTATAAAAGCATCTGTGGACTATCCACACATGCGCACAGCATCCCATGGTCCAATCAGCTCCCAAAAGTCCCACCGAGGAGCACATGAGACTTTAGAGGACATTGTAGCTCTAAACCGTAACAGGCCTTGCAAAAGCTCATGTTGAAGTTGCATGCCCCCATTCAGTATTTAGAGGCTGGAAATTGAATCTGACTGGTATTTGGGTTGGGAGAGGTTAGGTGAGATGAAGCTGGGTGCTGATCCAAAGAGGTGGTGGCTTTGTAAGAAAAGGACCCAGAAAGCGCAGTCACTCTCACCCTATGGTTTTCTGCACTTTCAGATCTCTATAAAAAGCTCGCACTGGTAAGAAAAACCTCATCAAATGCACCCCCCTGATTTTGAACTACCCAGCTTCAGACCCATGAGCCAAATAAACCTCTCTCCTTTTTAAATTAACCTCTGGGATTCAGTTATAGTGACAGGAAACTAAGATATCAATCAATGCAAAGACCAAAACCACCATTAAAATTTTTAAATGAATAAATTACCTAACCTCTTTGAGATTTATGTACGAATGGTACAATAAAGGAATTAACTCCAACTTCACAAAGTTGTTAGAACAATGAAGCAACATATCTTAATAGCCTAGTAACTGACCATGTGTCAGTGTTCCGTCAATATTGCTAAAGACCCGAGAGATTTAATCTTAATTCTTTGGCTCAATTACTTTCCAGGTGGCCTGGGATGAGTACTGTGCCTCTCTGAACCTCTTCATTTCCTGAATTACTAAGTTATACTCTAGGAAAGCATCCAAAAAGCAGCAATTTCCTAATTTTTCTTTTGCCTGGGATTTTATTCAGGAAAGTAAAATATAAGTCAATAGTGCTCAACACGTAATGACATCCTCTAGGCAAGATTGAGAAAGAGAGTTCCGACCCCATCTACTGAACAGTGATACTGACGGGAGCCAGGAGGCGTTGCTTAAAGGTGGCGGGAGTCACTTTCAGACAGCTCCAGATTCTCTTTCATCCCTGGTGAGGCTTCCCCTGTATTTTGTTTTTTGCATCTTGGGGAAATTTTGTGAGTATTCGTTCCTGCGAGTGATTCTTGGCATGACGTTCTTCACCCACTCACTCATTTTCAGGAGGCAGTACTGGGCAGAGGTGACGCTTGGATTCATGTGCATGTAAAGCACTGTTATTTCAGCCCCAGTTAGGAACAATCCATACATGTGCTCCTGTAATGGAACACAGCTACTGGCGAGTGTGTACTCGGATGGAGCTAAGTGCATCTCCATTCCTGGTGGACAGAGCTAAAGAAAGAAGCACATAATGTGTGTTGCACTGTATCATGACTTTCTCACATTCCTTCTTCTGGCTGCTTATTTTCCATGTTCCAGCCACTGCATAGTCTCGCGCTGTGGCCCATCAAATGCAGGAAGCTGTCAATGTGGCCAAGCTAGTCCCGGGTCTTCACAGAAAAGTCATTCAGGGTCCTGGTCGGCTGGCGACTCCATCTGAATGGTGAGCGAGTGCGGGGTGAAACTCTTGCTGAGGGCTCTGGCCACCGCTCTCTGAACAATCTGGCTGTCCCAGCTGGTCGCTGTTGTAAGGAACCGTGGTGAGATTAGCACTGATCTCCCACAGCAGCACGGCAACGGCTCTGTTGTGGGTCTGGTAGAACGGACACAGGCAGAGCCCTCAGAAACCACGCTGTCTTGACGGTCAGCTTGGTCACACGGATGGGGGGCATCACTGTGGGAACTCTGCCTGTCCGCCCCTTCCTTTAGAGCCCGGCCCTCCTAGGAGCTGAGTGTGGAAGAAGAAAGGATCCTGGGAAGAGCCAAGCCAGAACTACTGTTTCATGCATAGCCCAGCTCACCAGCCCTCAGGGATCTCTGGGTTACAGCCCTTGGATTTAATAAGAATTCATATGAAGGCAAGCGAGAGACCAGGAAGCACTTAGAGTTCCCCGCAGACCCCTCTCAGTGCAGCATCCTTCTTCGCCATCTTTTTTTCCTGTCACAAATGGGATCAGGAGGCTGGAAAGCCCCCTTCACAGTAACCTGACTGTTTACTGCACTCCTGCATCTGTGGTGAAATACTGGTGCACACAACACTGCCGATTCCCTGAAGCCCAGCATGAGCCCCTGGAGAAGCGGATGTCTGAGAAAGCACAGTTCTCAAAGGATGTCCCTGGTGTTCCTGTCCCCTGTCCCCTCTTCTAAGTAACTTCTTCAGTCACTTTTTCCAGCAGCCTAACCTATCATCCTGGGCTTTAGCTCTCTCTTGAGGCAGTGAAAGACCTCCCCTTCCTATTTCTCCCAGCCCTAGGCTATATCACAACCACAATCACCTTCTACTTGGAAAAAGTAGCTTGAAATAGAAACTCAATACCCCAAGAGTTGTCTCACAGGATCACAGAATTCCTAACCATCCAGCAGAGGACCTAGCTTACCCCCTACCAGCACACCTGCTAGTTTGTTATAACTTTTGGGATGGGGCCTGTGTCTCCTTCCTCTTTCTGTCTGCAGTATTAGGCACAGCATGCTACACACAGGAAGTTATCAGTATTTATTCAGATTAATTCATTTCTACTACTTTGACTGATAGGGCACCACACCCGACATGTACAGCTGAATTTCCAAAGTCGGAGACCTTGAAGGCGTGGGCATTTTTCCCTTGTGCTGTCTCTCCATCGCTCCTCTACCTCTCTCCACAGTCAGCCCCAAGGATGTCATCCGTATCCCTGTTGCTATAACAACATTGAAAAGCTGGTTGGTTTTCAAAGGCCCTTGGCAGTGCAAAACACTTCACAGTTGTTTTGACAGGCAGTAGACACTAAGAACAACTCTATAAAGAAAAGAGAAATTACTGATTTTCAGGACAAGGACCATGTCTTGTCCAGGATGTTTACAAAACTCACTGACCCATAACAACTTGAACGGAGAGAGGCACTTGGTTCACTGTTAGAGACCAGATGTGTAGGCTGTGCACAGATGCCACGCCATCGACAGCTAAAATGAGCTCTTTCACATGGTTGCAGTTCAGGCCCTTGGGTACACCTGACAAAAGGAGGAGGGCTGCAGTTACTCAGCTAGAACCAGCTTGTGGAGATGGGGAGATGAGTAGCAGTGTTCTCAGCTAAGCACAGTGTCATTCTCCCCTTTTCTGGCTTCTTGCTATAAACACAGATTTTGTCAAAGGATTTGCCATCAGTCCAAAGTTCACAGGCAGAATCCTGTTAGAATTTACAATGCAATAGCCAACAGCAGCAATTAGGGTATATTAGTAACCTAATTGTGCTTCTCCTAATTATCTTTACATGCACTCTGTAAGCAAAATAAAACAGCAGGGATTTGGTACCAATAAATCCTGGGTTAGCATTCTATATTCTACTACAGAGATTCTGAATTTGCACAAATTATAAAATGTCTCTGATATTCAGCATATTTACAGTAAAATAAGAGCAATAAGAATAAAGTATAGATGGCAGAATTGTTTTGAGGACCAACTCATACAGTATCTGTTCTTTTAAATGATGGTGGTATACAAATGTTGGTTATCCAGTAGGTCCTTTAATGAGCTATGTTAATAGGGAATCCTGACATTGTAAGGCCATTTCATTATTGGGTTTGTAAATTTTCCATTATTTTAGCTACATTAGTCAGCATTCAGTGTCTGGGTCACAGGATTGAATAGCTGGACTGCCACCCCTATTTCTAAAGCAACACTGTGGGTCATGCCACAAGGGGCAGAGACTGATAGCTGATCAGATGCTCTTTGGGGTAGAAGGAACTGGGTGTCTTCAGCCTGGAGAAGAGAAGGCTAATGGATGGGTGATCACATTTTGCAAATATTGCACAGTTTGTAGTATAGAAGATGAGAGAACGTGAAGGTGTAAGGACAGTGGCTCCAGCTACTTCGAGAGGGAAGAGCGGGAAGGGTTAAACCAAAAGCAGCTCAGTGCAAGAGCTCACTTTTACGAGTCCCTGAACAACTCTTCCCAGCATGTTCTTAAGCCTGGTTATGTACATAACATGTCAAAGCTGCCCAAGCACCAGAAAATTTCCAGATCTCTGGCTATGGAGGGCGTGGGCATAAGTACTTTTTAAATACATCCCAGAGGATTGCAATGAATACCCAGAGCCACCTACATAAAGAAATAAGGAATTCTTAGCCCTCATTTTTTAAGATTTAGGAAACTTAACTCATGGGGTTTCCGTCCTCCTTAAGGATAACCCAAGAATTTCTAAAGATAAAGTTTAGTTTCATGTCACTAAACAAAGAGCTGGCCAACATGGTCTTTTACTCTATGAATAGCAAAAGGCTCAGAGTACCAGAAGCAAATTAAAGGAATTCTTTAATAGAGCACATATAAAGTCATGAGTGAAATTGTTATATTTTTAACAATACTAATTAATAATAACAAATCTTTACTGGGCATCTACTCTGTGTAAAGTTTGTGCTAAACATTTAATTTACAGTAATTATTTCATTAAATAGCCCTAAGAACTCTATGGGCTAGTCAATAAAATATAATGCTTCAGATTATAAAAGAATCATAATTTGGTGATAGCCAATGACAAAAGGATGTTAGGAAATAAACATTCAAACATGTTGTTAGTGGGAAAGAAACTAGGAAGTTATCTTTGGTAGAAATGGCAGCATGCTCTCTATTTTACAATGCACATAATTTTTGAAACAGCAATATAGGGCCTAGGAACTACTCCACAGATATATGGGTGTCAAAATACAGATGTCCAATTATTTATATATGTATATGTAATATACAAACACATTACGCCATTGTCATGTCAATGTGTAATTCCATTTTTATAAAAAAAGACACAAGTGCACATACATTACACACACGCACACACACACATATATATATATATGTATTCATAAATATTTTTGGAAAATTTATATCAGTTTATTAATAGGTATAACTTTTAAAGAATGGGACTGAGAATTCAGAGGTGGTAGTGCAGGGAGACTTATATTATTTCATACTTTAGTGTATTGTTTATAAAATGTACTATAAGAATTTCACACTAACCTAACTTTAAAATTATCTTCCAGGAAAGTTACCTGCTAGTTTTGATAATTAGCTAAGATAGCCCAGTCTCTGCACTTTTTCTTAAATAAATAAATTAAGCAGCACAATTACTAGGGAAAGAGCTTCAGGGAAACAGATGGAGAAGAAAATGGTCATCTCAAATTGTGAGCCAATATGTCTCTGGTCGCTCTTTAAATCGATGCTCTCCATGAGAGCTCCACCTTCACACTTGGCTTCCCAGAAAGGAAACAGACACTTCTTAGCCTTGAGAGCTGGACAGCTCCTTCTTGCTCCGTTTGGGAATGAACAGCAGATGTTTGACTCCAGGGTCCATTTCACTGCCACCAATACCACCCCGTACCAAGAATTACAGTGCCCGCCAAGAACGGAGTCCTGATGTGCGCTCAGTAGTGTCACTGAAGGGAACTTTACTCTAAGTCATGTATCATATGGTCAGATGCTCTTAAGAGAAGGAACAGGGCAGGCAGTGTTTGACTGCCTTCTATCCCCTGGAAGCTGTGATGGAAACCTCTGGTTTTGATTGATACTCCCAGAGCCACCATGTAGGGATCCCTTAAGTGATTTGAAAAGATGAGTCCAGTGGTTCTAAAAGAGTGGTCCCTGAACCAGCAATATCAGCATCTTGTTTGAAATTCAGATTCTCACTGTGGACACCCCACCCCTACTATGGCCTAGTGACAGAGAACTGTGGGGCTTGGCCAAGCAATCTGTGTTTTAGCAGACGCTTCAAGTGATTTTGATGCCTCCAAAGTTTGAAAACTGCTGGCTTAGGCTAACAAGGATTTAAGGCAAGTGCTTCATAATATCTGTTTTCTGGATAGATAGAATATAAAATATGGTGTCATCTGTGTTAACTGCAAATGCACAATAGAACGACAAAAAGTCATCTTGCAAATATGGCCAAGTACCTATGTCTCTAGTATACTTCAGTAGAGGGTAAGCATCCCTATCAAAAAATTTTTAAAAAATTTAATTACTTCAAAACTCAAAACTTTTTGAGTGCCAAAATGATCCAAAACAAAATCCAAAATCTGAAATGCTCCAAGACTGGGAATTTCTTGATGTGATGACAAACGTGTAGTTTAGGGTCCATCTCCATAGCCTACTTTATATTTTCCATATTCTGGTCAACCAAAAGAGCGAGCTGAGAAGTTATATTTACTGAGTTCCAATCGAGTTCTATGCCATATCTCTGCTCTAATTCCCTCAGCACCACTGCAAGGTGGATACAGTGCTCCTTCATTTGAGTGGAGAAAGCTGAAGTTGAGAGGAGTTAAGGGTCTGTCTGAGGTCCCTCAGCTAGAAACTTGCATGACTAGAATTTGAAGTGAGGTTTGTCTGAAACAAATAACTTGCTTTTACAGTCACCCAGTGTGGCTCTTGGAGCTGATGCTCCTATAAGGATGTGTCCCAGAAAGAGCACAGAAACCAGCAGTTCTTCTACTACTTTATGCCAAATGGAAAGAAAATCACCAAAATGTAGAATGGGAAGAGAAGAAGCAACCTAAGATCTAGGATATAAAAAAGAATTCCTTAAAAATGAAAGTTATTTCTGTCATCTATTCCTGATTAATTGGAAGATCCAAAGATCCAGACAAGCCAGAAGAACTGTCATGGCTGCACTTTGGTTACAAGGAATAGGGTTAATAAGCATGAGCCCCTACTCTGGGTTAGAGTGAGCCAGAAGACGTTCCTTCTTCACCGAACCTCTCTGTGTGAGAGCGTCAGCCCCTATGCTGTGGTCACGCACAAATTCCCACACTTCTTCTCAGGAGAGCTCACGGTTCTATTTCTGTGCAATTACTCAAATAATCTTTCTCCCATGAGGACAGAGAGAGTCTCTATTTGCTCCTCTCCTCTCTAGCTTCAAGCATACCAGCAAGCAATGAGGTTCACTAAGCACTTCCTGGGAAAACAAAGATAAGGTCACCCTGATGTTCTTGTACCATCAGACACAATTAGGCTCAACTGTTCAGTTACAATGTGCTGGGGAGGCTGATTTTCATTGTCTTTCTTAGGACTTTTCCAGGGATTTTTAGGAATACGTTTACATTTGTCTCCCCACTATGTTGTATTTATTGTTTGTACTTACTGGTTTTACACAGTGGGATGTCATGTAATGGTTGCTAGAGGTACAAAATAGAAACCACATCTATTTATTTATTACCATATAAGTAGAAATCAAATATTTATTCTCACAAAAATTTCTTATCAGTGTAAAGTTTCCCTACAATACAAATTTACAGGGAGCATGCTTTTCAGCCATTCCCTTTTGTGATTACAGAGAAAAAAAAATCATCCTAGGAGTAATAATGAAATCCCTCCTACCTTCCATGAGTAAGATGGTAAAGTCCTTTGAGATCATAACAGTGCTGCTCAAAACAAGGATGGAAAAGACAAATGTGCAAATTGGGTCAGCAATTTTGTAGTATGACTGGAAAATTTGGCAGCTTTGGTTAATTGAAAATGCATACTTCCCATTAAGAAATCTCAACTAAGAAGATGAGTAAACCCCTGTGTTTCCATCCTTTCCTGTTACCCTTATTTTAACTCTCCTGACATTTGGCATCCAACTTAAAGACACTGGCATGAGATCCTTCCTGATGACTTAGTTTTTCTCTTAGTTTTATACTAATGAGTAAAGAGCAGGAGACTGTTGGACACACTCTCGCCATAGCATCAGAACTGAGGTGGTAAGTGCTGTTAAGTGTTCATTCAAGAGGCCTGATTTCACTTCTCTCAACGAATACAAGCACAGAGTGTGTTAATGAACTTATGCACAAAGATGGCCACGCTATGCAATGACTTTTCAGCCTTAATTATACGAGGAGCAAAACAGTATCATTTATTCAGAGCTTGCACCTGTCCAGTGTATAACTCGGCCTTGGTCTTGGCAGACTGAGATCATTTATGTTTTCCCTCTCCAGGATGACACATGCTCAAGACCGGCATCTTCGATGCTTTCCTACAGGTTTAAGTCACGGAGTCATTCTTATCCCTTCCCTCCACCGGAACTGCTAGCTTCAGGGTGAAACACCTGCCGTTCTGCCCTTGATGAAGTTCAATGCCACGGAAAAGTCCACGCCCCAATTCCCCTCAGACACTGATCATTCAACCTAGCACTTGTAAGAACACTAACTTTCCACTAATGTTACAGTTTTCAAGTATTTTTGCCTACATTTGAAGCTTTTAGTGAGCATTTTGCTCAACTGAATCCACATGTGTCATTGCAATAATTTTTACTTACATATTTCCACATTTTAGGAAAAATAGTAAAAAGAATTTCCTGTGATTTGAACAATCATGATGCAAAGAGAAAGATCTAAATACTATTATCTTTTCTTGCCTCCCTTCAGTCTACCTCTGTTAGTTCCAAGTACACTATTACCAGATAGAGATCTCTAGTGAATATTTATTTGTTCAGGGGAAGAGACCCAGCCAGGATTCACTAATGCTTTGCATTAGTATTAGCATCCTTGGGGCAGGGGCTGTCCTGGCTCCTGAGCAATACTGACAGGAGAGTGAAAGCAGGCCCTCTACCCTCTCCCAACCAAGAGCAGGTACAAGATCCAAACCAGGTTGATCAGACTGGACTCCCTGTCCCAGAAAAATGAATCTTCAGCCATGATAAAAAGAACAGGGGAAACATGATTGAATCACATTTGTTTCAGCATGGTGCCTGAGATAGAAATTAGTCTCTGAAAGCTGGATACTGAAGTTTGTCCTTATTTCTATCTTAATTTCTGTCCTGAAATACATTCAGTAAATTTCAGCCGATAAGTGTGGTTTTTGCTGAAGTGAGCCAGACAGATTTTCTGTCGTTTACAACCTAAGAACCCTAAGCTATTCTCAGTGGCACTGCTGTCCATCTTAACACGGCAACACAACAGCTATTTTCTTGAAAGACTGGCAGCCCAATAGTTACAGGGCTCTTAGGAATTTGGGAAAGACTAAGAGTTCAAACTTCGAGTGTCTTTTAACCTTGCAAAGTAGTTTGTACAGCTAACCACCAGCTGTGATATTGATAGTAGTTAGAGAACCAGCTTCTGTGCTACCTAATTCATGTAATTTCTGTGACGGCGGGAAAAGCTAAACACACTCACCTTCAAGTAGATGAGAAGTGCACTGATCAGTACACCAATGCTCTGGAACACAACTCCGAGGACATGCACAAACCCTGCTCTGACACTGGCATTAGCTTGCACTTCCTTGTGATTGTGCAAAAGCACACTTATTCTGAAAGAGAGAACATCGCTCTTCTTGCACAAGTGAGATGAACTCTTTAAAACCTATGCTGCACAATGGAGAAGTTAGCAGTGGCCCCTGGAATCCAAAAGGGCAGGTAGTTAAAATATTTATGTTTTTAAAATGTACTCTTCTGGACTAATGTGTGATCAGAAGTGTACCCTAGAATTTCAGAAATTTCTCACAAGGATGAACTACAAAAATTCACCTCAGTTATTTCATTCATCCACCTAAGGCTACTCTACTTCACATTAAAATTGAGAGGACACAATTGCTTGGGTGAAACTCAAGCATTCCATCATGAAGAGGTAAGACTTATTCATCTGCTAAATGTTAGGCCCTATACTGAGCGCCAAGCTTGGTGGAGTTCAACTAAGCATGAGGGTTCCAAATGTCGAAAGCAGCAGAAAGGGGACAAAACAAAATAAGAAGCAGTCAACCTCATTATCATTGGGGTTTTAACTCTTTCATTTTACTTAATTTTGTAACTTTCCATGAGTATTTGAAAGTGGGATACTTTTCTCATGGCCGATGATAAAAATAATATGCTTAAATATGTATAATTGTATCTCCAGAAACAAATACATTGATGTATCTTTAAATCCCCTGCATGTATACACAGACATGCACAGCATACTGCGAGGTGTGACGTCTGCTGAGATATAGTGGGAGGCACTAAAAATTATGGACCAAATTTTATTTCTCCATAGCTTAAAGATGTACTAGAGCAAAGGTAAAGGAGCTCTGCTTCACCACTGGCTAGCAAAGAGTGTCTTACCTGGGAACTTTTTCCGAATATGTAGGGATTAAAAACTTTTTTAACAGACCCTAAATGTGTTGTTTATCACATCCCACTCTTTTTTGTATGGACTGTTTGATAAATCTCAGACCATCGCCACAAAGTGAAATGACAGCTGTCTCCCAAGATTTGAGCATCCCACAATGCACAATGTGATTGTTCGTGCTTAGGAAGAAATTCACCCTTCACTCGGGGTCAGCACAGTGCCATTCACTGTCTTACTCCGTTTAGAAGGAGGGAAGCATGCTTGGAAACTCATGTAAGGCTTTGTTAAATGCTTGGGCCATAAAAGCAAATGAGTCAATGTGGTCCTCCCCAGAGTAGCTTTGATGATGAGGATGACAGCAGAGCTAACACACACACACACACACACACACACACACACACACACCGCACTTTCTCATCATACTCTGTCTACTAAGAATTGGTGCTATGGATAGTTCCAGTGGAAAAGTCTGAAGCATATAGAGAGATGCAGTGCCTCAGCTGAATCTAAAAGGTCATGCTAGAGTTAAACAGGATGAGAAGAACATTTTAGGCAGAAAAACTTAGTTTGCAACAGCCATATGCTCAGTTTACAACTTTCATCACAGAATCCCTAGGATCCTTCTACTGAACTTTCTGTCTTGGTTTTGGGTCCTCCCCAAAATAGACTTATTCCTGAATTGGAGTTTTGATATCTCTACATTCAGACAACAGAGCACTTGAAACCTGTAATCCCAGTTTTTGGAGGAAACATTCCAGTCACTCAGCACCTTTAGCCAGAAATAACTATCACCTTGCACAGAGAAGCAGCACTTTCAATTCCCTTGTCTAAATATGAAAAGTACTTGCAATGTTAAAGTCAATACAGCAAAAAGAACATTTGGTTCTTATCTGCTTTGAAAGTGAAATTCCATCATCAAGGTCCCAGATTGACCTAGCAGTTGGCTAGGTATAACCTTCATCTTTGATTAGCATCAACACAACCTATGGGCCACTTGACTCCAGGAAATTATTAATATTTTCTTTCTTCCTGCTGCCTTGAGGACATATTGTTCTCCTTATGCAAAGTTGCTGTTATTGACCCCAGTCAGTGAGGTATGTGCCCTGGAACATTTATTTCCTAAAGGTGATAGATTTACATTGATCTGCCCATACTTTTTCTTCCATGGCCGATATGAAATACAGTTACAAGTTAACTGGGAGGAGATAGGATCTAGACTTTGACAGCAGATCAGGCAACATAAGTGTTTAGCTCAAAGACTTCGAGCTGTAGTTCACCAACTGAAAGGTGGGAACTGAAGCATCTAGGAGAAGACTGAATGATCTGAGGACATTTTCTAACTCTCCATGCTCAGCTTGACCTCTAATTCCAGAAACTCCCTTTTGCCTTCTCTTAAGACCCACCCCTGATCAAAGCAACATTTTTCTACTATTATCTGCTTCACTCCCATGTAAAAACTTACATCATTGCAAGTATCAAGCTGGGTCGCGAGTGTTAAGTAGATGACAGCAGTTGATTACCACATTTAAACACTTGGTACCAGTTTTGTTTCAGACTCTGGAGTCTCTTGAATACTGGAATATTTGCATAGATTTCACCAGTTATGCATCCCTAATCTGAAAATCTAAAATGCTCCAATAACCAGAACTTTGAGCATCACTTTGGTGTTCCAAAAATCTGATTTCCAATTTGGGATTTTTAGATTAAGGATGCTCAATCTGTGTATGACTTTCCTCTTATTGGTGTGGCAAATTATCACCTTAAAACCACCCAAACTTATTGTCTAATAGTTCTGTATGTCAGAGGTCTAAAGAAGATTTATAAGACAGTATTCATTCTGGAGGCTCACGGGAGGGATTTAGTTTCTTGGCTTCTGTTTCCACAGGCTGCTTACATTCTATGACTCACTCCATCTTCACCTCCACAGTGTAGCATCTTCTCTCCCCTCTGAACTCCTGCCTCTTCCTTTCCAGACCCTTGTGGCTACACAGGCCCACCTGGAAAATCTATCAGAGCCACCACATTTTAAAATCCTTAATCACATCTGCAAAATTCCTTTGCCGTGGAAGTTCACACATTCGGAAGTTCCAAGGGTTAGGATGTAGAAGCCTTTGGAATGGACCATTATTTTGTCTACCACATTTAATGGTAAGGTGGATAAATGAGTGAAAGATAGACAGAGAGACAGATGGACAGATGATAGATGGATAGATAGATAGGAATCTTAAGTAAGATTGCTGACAATCAGATCATCAAATAGAAAGGAGGAAATTGAATCAAATTCATCAAAGCCTGGGGCTCAATACTATGTTGTCATAAGCAATCAAGTGGTTCACTTTAGAAATAGTGAACCTATATGGTGAGAGTCCTTCAATTGTGACTTCCTGTAGGAGTGATTTAAGAGTACCAAATAAGAGATCAACAGGTGAAAGCCAAAGGGAGAGTTCAGTTAACTCCGTTAAAGAACAACTTTTGTATAGTTACCATGATGCAAAGCTAAAACAGACTATTTAAGTTTCTGTTATTAGTTCTGTTCAAACATATGAAAGTCATGAACATTTTGTGGAGAAATTGCAAAAGAGAAGTCTAAAGTAAAAGCAGGACTGAAACAAATAGAGTTTAAGATCCCTTCCAGCTCAGCTCTCTGGGGACTCTTAACTGCTCATGTAACAAAAGTGGAACAGGAAAAAGACTCGTTATGCATGGAACCAATAACATGCAGTAGCCAGCAGAATGGACAGGAGCTGATGCTGGGTTTGAGGATCTGGATTTAAATCCTGACTTTGGACAACCTACTTGGTAGTGTATTTAAACTCACTAAGGTTCAGTTTCCTAACCTGTGAGGTTCAGGATAGACTTGGTCATATGTATCCAAGGATCCTACTCTATAGTCTCTAGCACACTGGAAGCTTTTGAAAGTGATAACTGGGAGAAGCCAAGGTTTTAAAACCCATTAGTCTAGGGTAATCAGTGTCACTTTTAATCTTAGACACACTTGTCCACTGTGTCAGATCTCCACCATCTTCACAGGAGATTGTAAGTCCTTGCACAGACAGAGCTGGTAAGCCACAGGGCACTCAGCATGAGGGTGACTTACACAACACTGTCCAGTGCTGCACACCCGGAAACGATCATCAGCAGGGTGGCCTGGATGTGGTATTCCGGGTACAGCAGGCGTTCACTGGCCAGGTACATCGGCACTCCGGTCAGCACTCAGATGCAGAGGATGGACAGCAGAGCACTGAGGATCTCTGGGGATTCCAACACACGAGGGATCCCTCAACTGCTGCCTTCACAAAGTCATGATACCCTTTGCTTCTGCAGACTAGTTTGCACAAAGAGATTATGGGTGGATTTAATACTGAGATGAGGGACTTGCATGTTGCATTCATAAAACACCAGTGTCTGAGTTCATTATACTCCACATTACTAAGTAATTTCCAGCTAGATTTTAGAACATATTAATTGCTGCCTGCCCTCACTGTTTTCCTCAGGGATTGTAATTTAAACAGGTGCTAAAATGATCAAAACTTATTAGGAGATGAAATAATGAGACATGACGAGTAAAATGTGTTTAGAAACTCTTAATTTCACCATAAAACAAATTTACGATTTGCCAGTACCAGCACCTTTAGTGGAATAAAATAGCAAAAAAGGAAGGCTTTGGAGGGTACTTGATGGAAATGAGTTCCATTTGCCAGCCCAACAGATTGTAAACACCCAGGCCGAACTTGGACGCTCATCAACACTCTCACTGCCTCTTAAGAGCAACTGCCAGGGAAAGAAGCATCAGGATGGAGACATTTACATTAATATTTGAAGATAAGATAGCGCTCAACCTGCCCTTGGGGGAAAGTACCTTTGCTCAGTTAGAGATCTGTAACACCTCACGGTGATCTTTAACTCAATCTTATAGGTCATTTCTAGAAACCATGGCTGGAGAAACATTTTGTGCATGACTAGGTCAGGCACATTCCACAATGTTCGTATCCCCTTTGAACTAATGCCAGATATTAGTCACCTCTAAAGCAGAGTAATATGTTGTTAGCTAGTGTGCAGCCTTTGTTGCCCACATTTCATTAATGACACACAACTCTCATGATTTTTCCCATATCTTCATGACGCCCATCTTATTAACTACCTCATGTTTCCTACAAATAAATTCATTCTTTCCACTCAGCTTCTTCCTAAACAAAGTTTCCATGAAATTATGAATATGTTGTACTACTTTATTCTCTGATACATATTAAGATGTATAACAAGTGTTCATGTGACACTTAAAAAATCACCTGACTATCCATCCATAGAGCACTGTGTACACTATGGTAAATGCTGGTCCAGATTTTAATGGTGTGAGTTCATATGTCAGATGCATACAGTCTGCTAGTGACTGGCCCAAGTGATTTTACACAAGTAACTTATCTTATCTGAGGCTGATTTTCTTTATCCATAAGAAAGGTATGATAATGGCATATGTGTAAAACAAGTTGGCATATGTTATGAGTTGAATTGTGTGCCCCCAAAATTCATGTGTTGAAGTGCTAACCACCAGTACCTCACATTGTGACCTTGTTTGGAAATAGGGGATCTGCAGTTGTAATCAGTTAAGATGAGGTCATACCGAGACAGAGTGGGCCTCTGATTCTGTCTGTCTGCTACACTTACTCTATGGGAGAATTTGGCCCAGTCGTGCACATGGTGTAAACAGCATGAATTTAAAGCAGAGATCTACAGACCAAGAAACAAGGGTTGGCAGCAAACCACCAGGCTCTAGGAGACAGGCATGGAATAGATTCTCCCTCAGAGACCTCAGAAGGTACTGACCTTGCTGATGCCTTGATCCTGGGCCTCTATTTTCCAAAACTATGAGACGATAAATTTTGAGTTGAGCCATCTGAAGCCATGCCTTCATTAAGGCAATTCCAGGAAATTAACACAACATATAGAAAAACTCAAGACATATTTAATATTTTGTTAGTCTAGCCAGACAATCTGAAACTACATTTGCAGAAGTTTAAGAAGACTAGACAACAATTTCTGGCTAGCTAGAAAAAGGGACTGGGTTTGTAGATGCCAATGACTACATTTCTTCCCCAGGGGAGCCCAAATCAGTGTACATAAGCAGAGCATTGTCCACTCTGAACTCATGACTAGAGAGGTATAGTGGGACAGCAGCTAGGAGCATAAAGCTCAAAAACCCTGTGCAAAGATCAGGAGTCAGGACTAGACACAGGGCAGGAATCAGAAATGAGTTAGATAAAAATACACACAAGGAGTTTTTGACAAGTGCTACCATGATCGCTGAGAAATCTATTAGGCAAGCAAGGACCTTGGGCTGCTGTACCAATGCGGGAGTCTGTTGGGCCCACCTGCATCTATTGTGGTGCTGTTTAATGTAGTAGCCATCAATTGTGTGGCTATCAAAATGGAAATTAAGTAAAATAAAACATATTGCTCAGTTGTGCTAACTACACTCAAAGTTCTCAATGGCCACATGATACTTCACGTTATAAAATATTGTCATTCACAGTAGAAAGTTCTGCTGAACTTTCCTGGTCTCTGAAATGTCAGTTTTCATGGGTTTCCATGGCCAAGATGACAAAGTACAGCAGCCATCTAAACTGAGTCCACCCTGTGTTTGCAAAGAGTCCCACCATTACAAAAAATCTCTGACCAATGGGATCAGAAAAGATCGAGTGCATGGAAACATTTATGCACGCAGATGATGGGTGCTGTGCTAGGCTCCCCCGATCACGCTGTCACTTTCTGTTTATTGTTTCATCTCTCTCTGAATGTCAGAGGGAAGCAGTTAAAAGCACCTGCAATGGTAAAAAGTGTAGTAGGGAACAAGAACTTCCTTCCATTGTGAACGTGAAGCCCTGCAGTCAGCACTGTCAGCCTCTGATCTGCACTCTGTGGCAGGGAGCACCTGTCTGTGGAGGCTGCCTTTGTGGGCTGCCCTTGCTCTGCCCCTGGATCTCACTGACAGTGATTTTCTCAACCTGTGTGGAAACATGGAGCTGTAACTATTGGTTCCCAGGACATGCACAAAGCATTCAGCCGGAAGCTTTTCTAGCTGATACAGGGAACAGCATAGGGGCAGAGAGGCGAAATTGCCCTGCGTATACTGGGAAGCAGGATGAGTTGTAAAAATGAACTCAAGTAAAAATTTCCCCGGGACTAAAACTTTAGCCTGACCTAGCCCCCTTCCTTAACAAGAGGTAGCCATTCTGATTTTCTTCCAAGAAAGGAGAAATTTCCTTTCTTCTTCTTCCTCATCTTCCTCTTTCCTTTATATTTATTTATTTTTGGTGGATGTTTAATTGATGGTTGATTTGTTGATGGTGTCTTCTTGCTTTCTCTGCTGCTATAATAGAATATACCAACTGATTTATGAAACAAGATTTATTTCTCATCATTTTAGAGGCTGGCAGGTCCAAGATCAAGGCCACAGAAGCTGGCAGAGGCCTCTGGGCTGCACCATTATATGGCAGATGAGAGATCGGGATGCACTCACTCTTTTCATCAGCAACTTAATGGCATAAGTCCACTGAGGAGAACAGGGTCCTCATGGCCTAATCATCTCATAGAGCCCCTACCTCTTAGTAGTGTTACAATGACAATTAAATGTAAACGTGAGGAGGGGAGGAGGGGGTGAAGGGAGGGCAGGGACAAGGGGGAAAATGAGAACCAAGACCTGTCATGTAGAGGTACAAGATCCCAATGATGAATGTAACTGTACTGTATCCCTAAAATATACCAATAAACTCAATTAAAGCTGGAAAAAAAAAGAAAGCAAATGTAAACCTGAGCTTTGGAGGCTGCATTTAAATCACAGAAATGCCCAAATGCTGGGGGCGCAGAAGAGCCCAGGTTCTGTCCTGACTCCCGGGGAGGAGTGCTTCAGTCTCTGCAATGCTCTTAGGCCCTCTGAGCCTTATTTTGCAGTAAGGCAGCAGCTTGACCTTTAGTCCTCTCCCCCAGGGATGTAGAGTAATTTAATGAATGTTATCATGGCTGTTCCCACACAATGAAGCCCTGGGGTTGCTGCTAAAGTGATACACATGTCTCTGCTGTCCCACAAGAGAGGAAGTAGCACCATTAATCTGGCAGTCTGCTGCATTAATATTAAGAACACACATTCCCACAAATACATTTATTCTGTCCTTTGCACCAGACATGTGCCCCTAAGGGATGTTTTGGAACAAGGCTTTGCCCTTTACCTTCTGGCTTTATCCTTGGTTTACCTCTGAAGTACTCTCCTGTCATTGTTGCTTAAATGAGGCACTGTACCTGATCGGTGCCACCCAAATGTCAGCCTTTTGGAGGGAGGCCGTGATGATAGCTACAGGGAAAACAGACTGAGCAGGAAACTAGCCAGGACCACTAAGAGATGAGCAGCATCCGTGACGATGGCTAGACTCCCAGCAAGGTACCCATCTAAGGGTGTGAAATAGGACACAGGGATGAGACCACGGAGGTCAGCTTCGTTCACTGGAGGTCAGCCTGCCAGCCACAGTCAATGAAATGCCAGGCTCACATAACTTTAAGAAAGAGAGGATCTGAAAGCTGGTTTAATTTGACAAGAAACCGAGACCCCCCCCCAAAAAAAAAACCAGATAGGATTTCAGCACAGACCAGTGGATTTCAAGAGCTGGGAGGGAAAAGGTATAAGATTCCGAAGTGTGGGACACAAGAAGTTTTTCTAGGGCCGGGGATTTAGCTCAGCGGTTCGGTGGCCTGCCTCGCAAGCGCAAGGACCCAAGTTCAATCCCCGGTACCAAAAAAAAAAAGAAAACGAAGCTTTTCTGTAAACCAGATGCTGCAACATGCCCAACAGATGTGTTATGATTTGTCTTGTGATTTCTACCATAGTCTTTCTTCACCACTTCTTTTTGCTCCACTAATTTATATTGTCCATGTGAGTTCAAGATCTCTGTTATAAATACTGGGGACAGAAAAGAAAAGTGAAGGTGCATTTCCAATGGGTACACGGAGGGCAACAGTAGTCCAATAAAGGGTAAAAATAGACCCCAGCCATGGGAGTCCTGCTTTGCTTTTCCCTCCATTTGGCTTGTTCCTTTTTCATCCCTCCACTCCTCCTCTGAAAAGCCTTCCAGCTTCCAATATAGAAATTAAGGTGAAACTTTGTCCTTTCCGGCCTGACTAGGGCCTGTGTTAAGAGCAATAACCTTTATTGCTCTTCCTACATCTTCCCAGCAGAGAGCTTTCATGGGCTCATGGACTGATTAGTCCTCCCTGCAGTTCTTTATTGCTTTGTGTACTACAAAGCAAGCGACTGTCAGCCGTCGGCCCCTCCATCACCAGACTCACCTTGTCTCACCTAATGATTAAAAAAATTACATAGATGGCTCATAATTGCAATAATCCCCACAGACCGTTGGCTCTAGCTATAGTTAATAACCAGTTTGTCAAAGTTTAATGGTCTGAAGCAAAGCAGTCTTCAAGCTTGTTACTGAGCTGTCAGTGCAAAAATTGGAATGATTCATTAGCCAAAAGGCAACATTTTGCTAACAAATCAGCTGTCCTTCCAATTATCCTCTAATGTTGCTCTATCTGCCAGACTTAGCCCTGATAATAAAGCTGTGTTAATAATGCATTATTTTTTTGCCTGCAGAATGATTACATGCAGAAAAGCAGCATGCTGCCATCTTAGCAATGAATGATGATGATTCTATGTGCTGTGCTGAAATTGTAGTCTAAGCCAAGGACATAAAGGCTTGCAGGCATTCTTCAGCAGGCTCAGCTCAGTCAAAGGGCAACTCAGAAAGAGAAAGGGCTCACTTTGGAAGAAGCGAGTTAAAATGGAGGACCTAAGATTCACTTTGCCACCATCAAAGCCACTCATAAGAATCATCTAGAAACTACAGGAAATTACAGCTGAGTAATACAGAGCCAACTGTTTGCAAGAGATAGTTAGTGACTGCATTTGTGTTTACTTCTGAAAGCATGAGGTGCTGTTGACAATTAACTTAATCATCCAAGGGGTACTTATTGAGCTCTTACTGTGCGTGGCTCCAGGGGCAGAGAACACAAAGATGAACAAATCTCTCTTTAGTGATCTGCCCAATACACACTGCACTGAAAATCCAATAGTGGGTTGGAACCAGAAAGCACTGGGAGCCTTCAGGAACTGTTCACAGATGGGTAGGGATCAGCATGGAGGAAGGAAAAGACAAGAACAGGAAGAGAGAAGGACAGGCACAAAGACACAGAGGCTGGTTGAATGTTATTCTATGGGTTAAAGGAACTCGTTAAGAGTTTGAGCCAAAGTTGTGACATGTTCACATTTGTAACTGAGAGTGGCCTTTACCAGCAATATGGAGGATGAGTCAGAGGGAGGAGAAGCTGGGGGCTAAAATGCAACAGCAATAATGAAAGGAAATTATGATAAAGGCACGAACTAAGGAAGGCAGTAGCACTTATACTTCTGAGACACTTGGCAAGATGTGCAGAACAGTGCTCCTGAAGGAGGCACGAGAGTCACAGCAAAGATTCAGTCCTGCAAACAGACTCTGTCCACGGCCCTTATGGTGAGGTGACCACAGGACCTCACCTCGGAGCCCAGTAACCACTGTCAAGTCCCCGTGATGTGTTCCACAGAGGACAGAGACGTCTGCTCATCTGATGGACGATGCATGTGTGTCACATCACTAGGCTGTACTACTGTGTGCTATTAATTTTCTTTTTAAAAAAAATCTCTACGTTATAGAGAGCACTGTTATTGTACTATGTGTTATGTCAAAAAAATTCGTCATTACCTAGCCATCCTGAAAGCATGAGGTTTTGAGGACAACACTGCACTTTTCATAGCCACGTCTTGACATTTGTTAAGTTTTCAATACCAGGAGCCTCAGAATATCTGTTGTATCAGCCTCCAAGACCAAGGCTGTAGAAAAAAGCAAGTGCCCGTACCAATGAAACACATAATTACCACATCAACAGCCATCTCTTTCTGTTAGGAAAAGAATTTTTTTTTTCACTCTCAGAACATGCTGTCATTTTCCCCAGCCTGCACCCAGCTCTGAGATTCCTCAGGCAGCCTCACAGTTCGATCCTTGGGTAACTCTGACTCCGGGCCCCGTTTCCCCCAGCAGTTGCCAATTTGAGCTTATACAAATATGCCTCTCTGTGGCTTCTCTACACCAGGCATTGTCAGAAGCAGCAGAAACAGCCCCACTCAGCAGCTCCAAGGTCCATGCAGAGCAGGCTGGTGAGGCTCACACACTTCTTTCCTTAGTCCTCCTCTCTCTGCTGTGTAGCACACTTTGGGGCATTTCTCCCCGTAAACACAGCTCAGTCCGATTCTCTAGCTGGACCTCAACCCTCCACAACCTGACTCTCAATGACCATTCTGGTTGCATCTTCCACTGACTTTAAGTAGGCTCTTTCATTTCATAAATGCCCAAACTAGCTTAAACAGCAGTAAGATTAAAATGTATTGCCTCACACTAGGAGAACAAACCTGGGCGCCACTGGATCAGCTGTTCTAAGGCTCAGAACACGCCAGGACCCTCCTCTTTCTCACCATTGCTACTAATGGTCCTCTTGAGGATAGGCTTCCTTTCCTTCCGTGGGAAAGGTGGTGGTCTAGAAGCTCCACGCCTGAATCATTTCAGCTTACTACTTGTAGAGAAAAGAGAGAATTTATTCAACATAAAGATTTAGAGACCCTGTTCAGCACTGCCTAGCTCTCTCTGAGTCCTGCTTCAGGGAGCCAGGATCAGAAGTGCAACCAGAGCAAGAGTAGGACGGAGCTTGCTGAACAGGAACTGTCAGCCCACTACAAACACTGACTCCTGAACTTCTAAAACTCTGTTTCAGACGGATCCATGAGAAATCTTTCCAGTTAATGTCTGATGTTTTGTACCTGTCCAGGAGCAGCAGTGAATAGTGTGCTGTTTATTGGGGCAGTTCCACCCGAACTGCCCTCTGTATTCATCCTTGAAGGCCAAAGACCTCCCATATCACTCAAAGTGGCATGCTAATATTACAGAGTCTGCCAAAAAATGTACACATCGGGAAAAGAGAAATTTGCACAAATATGTTAATACTAAATTGATAGTCACATCATGAGATCAACACAAGTCATGTTTGGCCTCTACAATTACAAGAGGCACTCGAAGTGGTGGCTGTGACCTTCCAAACATTTATTAGTGCGGTGAACTGCTGCAGTGTGCATGCATATTTCTGGCAGATTCCATAGTTGCTTTCTCTGACAGTGTCGAGAGGGACCTTGGGGAGTGGGGAGCTGTGGACTAGAATCTTCAATGATGGCCAGGATTTTGATGATTGTGAAAGGAGGACAGGGATTTTTTCCATTCCCACAAATAAAGCAGAGACCGTAGGGACTCTGAACTACAATGATTATTTCGCAGAGGATGAATAAATACATTTGGCTGGTACGGGGTAGCCATGCAGGGACAGGGTAAGAAAAAAAATATTAAGAACGTGGCAGTTAGATTGCAGAATTCCTGGAAAATCAAAATAAAACATTTTCATTTTGTCCTGCATGCTCGACCTTCTTAATGTATCGATCTGTCTTTAGCTGGGGTGGTCACGTGTGAATCTAGCAGAATAAGGTTTTGAACCCATCAAACGAGCTCCCTTGGCAAACTCTTCTGTGCTTACCACGGTGAGAAACACAGGAAGAACCGCTGAACTAGGCAAAGAGAGCCGCTGGATAATTTTGAACGTGATGAGAGCAGTGTTTTAGGAAACTCAACTGAATGTCGATACGATTCAAAGTCGAAAGGCTTGAGAGTCAGCACCCACTTCACTCCTCTACTGAGGGTATCACTTTTGACTCTGAGCAAAAGTCAAATCAGAGCTCCTATACCCTAATTCATAGGAATGAGAGGAAAAGGAGGAAGCTGATCTCCTAACTCCAAGTCACCAGCTGTCCATCTCCATTCTAAAAAGAGAAGACATTTTGATGTATTTTAGTAGTACATGTTTGCAATGCCTAATGATTACATTTGTTGGGGGGTTGTGCATGCACGTAGCACACTTTCATTCTTTTCTGTTCCCTTTCTTTCCTATCGCTCCTTACTCCTTCCAACTCTTGATCCCTTTTCCATTTTAAAAAGTTCTATCTAGTATTTCCAGTTTTTTCTTTGAGTCCCTCTTTTTTAAAAAAATCTTTTTTTACCTCCATTCCCTCTATACTCAACTAATTTGGTATGCAAGAAATGTCTCTCGACACAACAAAGGCCACTTATGACAAACGTGCAGCTCTGTACTAACACAGGAAAGGTAGAAAGCTTGTCTTCAAAGATCAAGAAGAAAACAAAGAGAGCCGAGGATTTAGTTCAGTGGTTCTGCTGCCTGAGTCACAAGCACAAGGTCCTGAGTTCCATCCCTGGTACCCACCCCCCAAAAAAGAGAGAGAGGAAAAAAAGAAAACAAAGGTATTCTTG